GTCCTCCTCCTCTCCCTCCTCCTTCACCATGTCCTCCTCCTCTCCCTCCTCCTTCACCATGTCCTCCTCCTCTCCCTCCTCCTTCACCATGTCCTCCTCCTCTCCCTCCTCCTTCACCATGTCCTCTTCCTCCTCCTCCTCCTCCTCCCCCTCTAAATTCTAAATGACCACATGATGTAAGCACTGGGAAATGTAGGGATTTGTGTGTAGAGTTTTGCAGTAACAGTTCACCAAATCTGACTCATGTGTTAAAGCAGGGGAATAGTGTTTATAGTTCAGCAAAATGGGTGTGCTTTTTGAAAAAAAAATATTTTGAAATTTTAGTTCAAAAGCCTGGTTATAGTGTTTTAGCAATCGAGGAAAAACTGTAATATTTTTGAGAAACCATGATGCATTTTTTCAGGATTCTTTTATTAATAGAAAATTCAAAAGAACAGTTCATTTGAAATAGAAATCTTTTGTAACATTATAAAGGTCTTTATTGTCAGTTTTGATCAATTTAGTGAATCCTTGCTGAATAAAAATCTTAATTTGTTTTAAAAAAGAAAGAAAGAAAAAGAAAAAAAGTACTTCCCCAAACTTTTGAACGATTAATGCAAGTGCTGCTTTCCTGTGTGAATCTGAGTGTTAATTTGTGTTTTGTTTTGTACACAGCAAAGTGTCCAGACCTGATAATTTAGCTCAGCATGTTTTTGAGGTGGATGAAGACGTGGATAAAGATGAGGTAAATCAAATGCACACACAAACACACCTCTCAGCACTGTGACCCTCTTGTTGAACTCTGACACTGTAGTCAGTCTTAAAGGATTAATTCACTTCCAGAATAAAAATTTCCTGATAATTTACTCTCCCCCATGTCATCAAGATGTTCATGTCTTTTTGTCTTCAGTCACAAAAAATTAAGGTTTTAGAGGAAAACATTCCAGGATTTTTCTCCATATAATGGACTTCAATGGTGGCCTACGGGCTGAAAGTCTAAATGCATTTGTGGTAAAAAAGTATATACATTTAATTTTTTTTAAGAAAATGACTTTGTTTCGCTAGATAAGACCGTTATTCATTGGCTGGGATTGTGTAGAGCCCTTTGAAGCTGCACTGAAACTGCAATTTGTTGCCTTCAACCCATTTATCCCAATTGAAGTCCATTATATGGAGAAAAATCCTGGAATGTTTTCCTCAAAAACCTTAATTTCTTTGCGACTGAAGAAAGAAAGACATGAACATCCTGAATGATATGGGGGGAGAGTAAATTATCAGGAAATGTTTATTCTGGAAGTGAACTGATCCTTTAAGTGATGTTTGCCCTCTCTAATAAATCCTACGGGATTGTGTGTGACAGATGCTGTAAAGCTCACCTTATAGAATATAGAGTACCTCTGCTATACACTAAAAGTGTGTATTTTAATAATAGGGTCATAGTTTTAAGTATGTATTTACACCTGTCAGTACACTAGTACTAGGACATACTGTACTAACACTTCATAAAACTCCATCTTGATAGCACAGACCCGTTAGTCTCGTACTGAAATACTTGCCATTTTTGTACAAATCAAAAAGTACTCATTCATCCAAAACTCCTCTTTTATTGCGCAAGGAATAGTCGGCAGTATTACTTCAAAACGCATTCACAGATGCACACTGTAAATAGTATGTGATTTGGGCCTTTTATATATATATATATTTTCAACATGCTATGATATGAGATGCACTAATGCTAATGTCAGATACTATTTAATTAAACTGCTCTATGAGTGGATCAGACTTCCAGGTTTTCCCAGAATGGACATAGTCAAATCCAATGGCCTGACATTAGGCCTTCTGCCTCCCTCTTCCCTGAATTCTTCTTTCCATGAATGCTGCCCACGCGTTTAATTCTACTAATCAGCTTCCCACTCAAGATTGAGTCACGTTTCTTATTTTAGCCCAAATGTGTGCAGTATGACAGACTGATATGTAACTCATGTCATAGGTTTGAGGAATGCAGTATAATTGTTATTATGCTGAGTTTTGGCCTGTACTATGGACCATGAATAGCTCTAAGTTCCTGTTAGACTCATTTGTCTAATTTGGTTGCTGATTGATTTCTTGTATTTATAGAAAGATATTGTAAACACAGCCAATTGCTGATGGCTGTCCAACGGCACAGGCAATCATAACAGCTCGCCACATTGAGATTTTACTTCACAGCCTATCAGAATCATTCAGGCTGTTTTCATGAATGTTAAAATGTATTAGTGTTGCTGAGCTAAGCATTGCTATTACTAGTCCTCATATTTAAACTAATTTAAATAAATCCTTAACCATAAGTGTTAAATTATTTACAAGTTTGCATGGATGATAAAAATCATAGTAAATAAAAAATACCACAGACTTATATTAAAAAAAGACTCAACCAATATATAGAGACAGAGTAGAGTTGCACCGGTTCCGTCCTCCTCCTCCTTCACCCCGTCCTCCTCCTCCTTCACCCCGTCCTCCTCCTCCTCCACCACCATCACGTCCTCCTCCTCCACCTATTCCTTCATTTCTCTGTGGATCCATTGTTCCACAGCTCGGTGAACGGATTCGGGCCCTTTTATCCATTTATTAAAGGATCTGATTGATGAGTGTTCTATTTTGACTCTTAGTGTTTCCACCTGGGTAATTGTTTGCGAATTGAGCTCAAGCGGTGCTGACTTGAGTGAACAGTATTGAATGCTAGTGCTTTCTAAATGACCACATGGTGTAAGCACTGAGAAATGTAGGGATTTGTGTGTAGAGTTTTGCAGTAACAGTTCACCAAATCTGACTCATGTGTTAAAGCAGGGGAATAGTGTTTATAGTTCAGCAAAATGGGTGTGCTTTTTGAAAAAAAAATATTTTGAAATTTTAGTTCAAAAGCCTGGTTATAGTGTTTTAGCAATCGAGGAAAAACTGTAATATTTTTGAGAAACCATGATGCATTTTTTCAGGATTCTTTTATTAATAGAAAATTCAAAAGAACAGTTCATTTGAAATAGAAATCTTTTGTAACATTATAAAGGTCTTTATTGTCAGTTTTGATCAATTTAGTGAATCCTTGCTGAATAAAAATCTTAATTTGTTTTAAAAAAGAAAGAAAGAAAAAGAAAAAAAGTACTTCCCCAAACTTTTGAACGATTAATGCAAGTGCTGCTTTCCTGTGTGAATCTGAGTGTTAATTTGTGTTTTGTTTTGTACACAGCAAAGTGTCCAGACCTGATAATTTAGCTCAGCATGTTTTTGAGGTGGATGAAGACGTGGATAAAGATGAGGTAAATCAAATGCACACACAAACACACCTCTCAGCACTGTGACCCTCTTGTTGAACTCTGACACTGTAGTCAGTCTTAAAGGATTAATTCACTTCCAGAATAAAAATTTCCTGATAATTTACTCTCCCCCATGTCATCAAGATGTTCATGTCTTTTTGTCTTCAGTCACAAAAAATTAAGGTTTTAGAGGAAAACATTCCAGGATTTTTCTCCATATAATGGACTTCAATGGTGGCCTACGGGCTGAAAGTCTAAATGCATTTGTGGTAAAAAAGTATATACATTTAATTTTTTTTAAGAAAATGACTTTGTTTCGCTAGATAAGACCGTTATTCATTGGCTGGGATTGTGTAGAGCCCTTTGAAGCTGCACTGAAACTGCAATTTGTTGCCTTCAACCCATTTATCCCAATTGAAGTCCATTATATGGAGAAAAATCCTGGAATGTTTTCCTCAAAAACCTTAATTTCTTTGCGACTGAAGAAAGAAAGACATGAACATCCTGAATGATATGGGGGGAGAGTAAATTATCAGGAAATGTTTATTCTGGAAGTGAACTGATCCTTTAAGTGATGTTTGCCCTCTCTAATAAATCCTACGGGATTGTGTGTGACAGATGCTGTAAAGCTCACCTTATAGAATATAGAGTACCTCTGCTATACACTAAAAGTGTGTATTTTAATAATAGGGTCATAGTTTTAAGTATGTATTTACACCTGTCAGTACACTAGTACTAGGACATACTGTACTAACACTTCATAAAACTCCATCTTGATAGCACAGACCCGTTAGTCTCGTACTGAAATACTTGCCATTTTTGTACAAATCAAAAAGTACTCATTCATCCAAAACTCCTCTTTTATTGCGCAAGGAATAGTCGGCAGTATTACTTCAAAACGCATTCACAGATGCACACTGTAAATAGTATGTGATTTGGGCCTTTTATATATATATATATTTTCAACATGCTATGATATGAGATGCACTAATGCTAATGTCAGATACTATTTAATTAAACTGCTCTATGAGTGGATCAGACTTCCAGGTTTTCCCAGAATGGACATAGTCAAATCCAATGGCCTGACATTAGGCCTTCTGCCTCCCTCTTCCCTGAATTCTTCTTTCCATGAATGCTGCCCACGCGTTTAATTCTACTAATCAGCTTCCCACTCAAGATTGAGTCACGTTTCTTATTTTAGCCCAAATGTGTGCAGTATGACAGACTGATATGTAACTCATGTCATAGGTTTGAGGAATGCAGTATAATTGTTATTATGCTGAGTTTTGGCCTGTACTATGGACCATGAATAGCTCTAAGTTCCTGTTAGACTCATTTGTCTAATTTGGTTGCTGATTGATTTCTTGTATTTATAGAAAGATATTGTAAACACAGCCAATTGCTGATGGCTGTCCAACGGCACAGGCAATCATAACAGCTCGCCACATTGAGATTTTACTTCACAGCCTATCAGAATCATTCAGGCTGTTTTCATGAATGTTAAAATGTATTAGTGTTGCTGAGCTAAGCATTGCTATTACTAGTCCTCATATTTAAACTAATTTAAATAAATCCTTAACCATAAGTGTTAAATTATTTACAAGTTTGCATGGATGATAAAAATCATAGTAAATAAAAAATACCACAGACTTATTATAAAAAAAAGACTCAACCAATATATAGAGACAGAGTAGAGTTGCACCGGTTCTTACTTGTATGTTCTTAAATTGTTCATGGCATTTCAACATAAATTCTGCTCATACAAGGCTGCTGTTAGATCATTAAAGATAAAATTGCACAGGCAAGCACTGCTCACATTTCTGGACTGTCCAAGACTGTACAGTCATTCTGACTGGGTTTTGATATTTGCTGACTGGAAAGCTCAGATATGTGTGTTTGTTGAGCGAACGCAGCTCTGTGAGGTCTATGAAGCATCCAGACTCCCTCTGCCCACCCACACAATCACAGCACAAGCATTTCATCTGTTAAACGCTGTTGTGTGTGTGGTTTGTTTGTATCTGCAGAGTGTCAAGAGTAAAGCGATAAGGAGTTAAAACACTGGTGATTCAGAGACAAACCGACCCATTGTACTAAAGTGTAACCTTCTATTGTTCTTAAAGATTCTTTCAGGCCTCTCCTCATCTACACCTTGTAGGTCTGACGCTTCTCACAATAAAACTGTTTATACCTGCATGCTTGTCCAGGCAGGTTGGTGCTGGTCTAGCTGGTGGACCGGTATAGCAAGATTGTCACCAGCAAAACTGTTAGCTTGTATAGTTTTTATGATGACGTTGCCTTATCAAGTCTTGCTTTTTAATCTTGTTAAAAACAGGGCTCGCAAAATCGCCCCGCTTCTCTGGGCTATTGTGTTTTCCAGTTGGGCTACCAGAATGCATCACTGCCCTGCCCGACGGGCTATTTTGAATAGTGAAATAAAATCCCTTCATTGATTTGCATTGTTCACTCGCTTGTAGGGGTGAAATGGATCGCAGTTGATCATTTGCACGTGTTTTGCGTGTGCAAGTCTTGCCAAGCATTTTAAACCATTCATAGCAAGAAGAGGCTTAAGAGAACTAAATTCGGTACTCGTGCGCTGTTATTTGCACACACACACACACACACACACACACACAGAATTGATTCCTCTTTCACGTATCCTTGTGCTTGAATGGACACATACACACAAAATTATCTCAAAATACCCGTCTCGGCATGTATTCTCTTAAACAAACGGTTATGTCTTAAGTGAAGTGAACATAAACAGAAAGAAATTGGATGTGTATCATTATATTGCATCCGTGCATCTGGTCTTAAAGGGACAGCAGCCTATAAATATCTGCTGCTCTCTGTGTCATTAATGTTAATCAAACAACAAAACACAACTTAAACGAAGATTAATCTATATTTAATTTATATAGGTCACGCCCTGGACTCATTCTGTGTGTTTTTCACTCTCCATGTGCCTGCCCTGACCTAGTTTTCCCATGTGTTTGATTGTTCATTAGTTCCCGGTGTGTCTCATCATCCCCTCGTCAAGTCAGGTGTATTTATAGTGAGTCCTGTTCTGAGTTCTTTGTCTGGTATTGAATGTTCGTCTTTCCCCGCTACGTGTGTTTTCCTGGTTTCTTGGATGTTTATTAAAGTCTGTTCGTTTGAAGTTTACTCCACGTCTTCTCGTTCCTCACTCCGTGCTCCTCACAGTAGCGGATCGTGACAATATAGTGAACACTATGCAGTATTATTTTAATCTTAATTACATTTCTGTGCCTGAAAACTAATATTAGACCTTACTTTATTTGTAGCTTTGCTATATTTATTATATGCTTGTAATTTTTTTGGCATTCAGGTTTAATGAAGAGTCAGTTTGATTGGCCTGGAATATCATGGATGATATTGCTTTGTTTTTTCATCAAGTTATGGAAATAAAATGATTTATTATTGTGATCTCCAAATCCTAGAGGGACTAGGTGGAGTAAAATGGAGTCATGAAGACTTCGGCTACATGTTTCTTCTGTCACACACTTTAGGAGAAAGCTGATGCAGAATGATGAACATTGTGTCTTCAGTTACAGGTCTTCTGTTACTATATTGATGTTCATGTGAGTGTCCAGAGACGGGAATTGTGTTATCAGAGGTTCTGTAGCACTCTTTGAATCAGGTTTATCTGAGGTTCTGTTCAGTCGTGGGTCTGGATTCTGTTCTTTCTTCCTTATTTGACTCCCACTTTGTTCTACTGCAGGATCAAACAGACAAACCTTGGACTGTCATCACAAAACTTTTCCTTGTTTGTGTGTGTGTGTGTGTGTGTGTGTGTGTGTGTGTGTATAAAGGACACAGCCTCTCTGGGCTCTCAGAAGGGTGGTCTCATTAAACAGGGCTGGCTACATAAGGGCAACATGAACAGCGCCATCAGCGTCACCATGAGGGTGAGAGTCTTCATTCCTGAGGAGATGTTATGTCTATGCACTTGTTTGTTTTTCATGTCTCATTTACACTCTTCTTTTTTTTCACGCAGTCATTCAAAAGAAGGTATTTCCACCTGACACAGTTGGGCGATGGGTCGTATAATCTTAACTTCTACAAGGATGAGAAGATCAACAAAGAGCCCAAAGGAACCATTTTCCTGGACTCCTGTATGGGAGTGGTGCAGGTGTGCAGACATGCTCTAATGTTCACAACACAAACCTCCCTCTATCTTGTTCAGAAATCGTCATGGTATTGAACAGTGGTGGCTCGTGGATTTTAAAATAGAGGAGGCACACTAATTGTATTGGTATGGGATCCCTGCCAATTATTATTATTATTATTTGCTTAACCACTTTAAAATGGCTTTTTGGTTGCGTTTAGTCAGAAAACATAAAGAAAGCGACATGCATGCAGCAAGATAATATAATTTCACTTACCTGGCCTATCACTTGAAGCAAACATCCATCCCTTCTTAAAAGTCTGTGTTAAAGAGAGCTGCCTGTTGTTCCATTTAATTAAGCTGACTGCTGTAGCCTATATCCAGTTAGACGTGTTTTCCCTTTTTTTTTTTTTTTTGTATATATACTGTTTGAATGACAGCCTGGTAAATCTGTTGGCGATCAGATATTCAATATCGCTCCTCATAAGTACTTGGTACATTATCAGCGCAGCAGCAGACGTTCAAACTAATATCACGTAATTTACGTCTCTATGATGATTGGTTGATATCAGAAGGTGGCTAGCTTCCCTTTCGAGGTTTCTTTTCTCAACACTCCTCAGCGCTGAAAGTGAACACTTGATGGTGATTGGCTAATTTTTTTTTACCAACGGCGGCACGAGAGCTCAGCTCTCCCCCGGCCTCCCCCTCCCCTTCTCTATCATTAGCGGTTGTAATTGCATTTGGCACATTCACGATAGAAAAGCGGCGCTTTCCAACTTCATTAACAAGTTATGGTATTACAGCTGTGAAAATTTTGGGGAAGCTGTGCCTCCCCCGACGAGCCGCCACTGGTATTGAAGTATATTTTACTAGTTTACTATAAATGCTTGGCATTCACTTTAACCATATTTCAAAGACAATAGAATTATGAAATTGCATATAAAGATGTACTTGAGTCCTACTTTAGTTGGTTAAAAACACACTTGAATTCAGCTAATTGCATTTAATATAAATTTAAACTATAATACATTTTCATTTAATTGTAATTAACATGCAGTTAAATGTCATAAAACATTACATTCAGTGCACACTTAAGTATGTTATTTCCAACATTACATTCAGTGCACACTTAAGTATGTTATTTCCAACATTTCATTCAGTGCACACTTAAGTATATTATTTCCAACATTACATTCAGTGCACACTTAAGTATATTATTTCCATAATAAGTACTGAGAAGATGAGAAGGCAAAGAAAGGAGAGAGTGAGGGATGTGTTTGATAAATGATAAGCATTCTCTCTGGGAGTGAATTTTCCACATGCACTCCCAAAATAAAGTGCTACGCCCACGCCGGGCCCCCAAGCTATTTTTGTGAGGAATTTTCTGGAACCTGTGGCCATAATCACTCATAGGTACGGTCAGTGTCACACCCTACATGCGTGGCTTTGTCATTATCTGTAATGAGTTGTGTCTGTTTAATTAGCCCTCTTCCTCTGACCTCTGACACACCCCTCACCTCCTCACCCCCTGTCTGCCTCAACAGAGCACTGGCTTTTACTGCAGACGGGGGTTATTATAGTTAACTAAAGCTAAAACCATAAAAATGCCATTACCTTAAATAATATATGTATAACTCAGTGATACTAAAATAACTAAAATAGAGAGAGAATGAAAAGACACTTACTGAAGTACAAATGCTCTGTCATTGCCAACAAAGTGTATATAACAAAGTATTGAGATGAAATTTTGTTATTGACCAAATACTTATTTTCCACCATCATTTGCTAATAAATTCTTTAAAAATCCTACAATGTGATTTTCTGGATTTTTTTTCTCATTTTGTCTCTCATAGTTGAGGTATACCTATGATGAAAATTACAGGCCTCTCTCATCTTTTTAAGTGGGAGAACTTGCACAATTGGTGGCTGACTAAATACTTTTTTTCCCCACTGTACATTGGTCAGAAACACAGCAATGAAGTGAATCTTTTCGCTTTTCGACTAAAAGAAAAACTGCTTTAATGGCATTAACTAGACCAACCTGAAAATGCTGTCAATTTTACTCAGAATTTATTATAAAGAAGCAACATTAAATGAAACTATTGTCTGATTTGACATTGATTATAGAAACGTAAGTTTGGCTGAAGGTTTTAGAGATTTCAGTTTTTGTAGTCACGATGACACTTAGTGAACTGACTTATTTAAACAGACTGACTGACAGTGTGCTCTGCTCTGTAAATCGCATTAAACCTGTTAAGAAATGTCCAGGGCTGCATTTCTCTAAAGCATTGGAAGTAAAAGTATTGTTAATCTGTACAATCTACTTTTTGTAGCTTGGTTTTTGGGAAACACAGACCTGTCCTGGTCATTTTTCAACCCCAAAATTACAAGGAATAATAGGAATGTATATAATAACATGTAATGTGTGTATATATATATATATATATATATATATATATATATATAGTTAATTTTAAAACTCATTGTTTTATAGTATTTTTTTTCTCTGTACTGTATTTTTACTTTACAGTTGTACTCATTAAATTATTTGATGATAATATAATGGGAATCATCCTTATGAATAATGAGATTTACAAAAACTTAAAAGTATTAACTTTTGATAAATTTGCTTAATTGTCATGAAAAAACTTCTAAACATTAAAATTCAAATAGTCATATAAATAGGGTTCCCAAATATGTTTTCATACAATTAATTAATTGATATCTCAGTCATAAACATGTGAAACTCCCTGTCAGATGGGCAGTAAAGGAGTGACTGGTTTTGATCTGATCTCAGCGCATTCTGTGTGGCTAAAATACACAGTTCTGCCAGCTGAGCAAGCAGCCCGTGAGGAGCTTCACAGCCTCAGATGGAGGAGAAATCCCCGACTGCTGAGGGGTCAAAAGTTGGATTCCTGCATTTCTCTCTGGTTGTCTTTGCCTGACTAAATGCCCCTGCTCTTATGATTTTAAACCCATCCTTTTAAAGGCACTTAACCCCTCTGTAAGTACTGCCCTGGGCAGGGTTGGGAATCTGTCCTCCTCCGTATGGAAATCATCTCACTCCTTTCCCAGGCTTCTGGGAAGGTTTTACAAGATTGCATGATTAAAGTTGTACAGATGATGTAATTAACATGCATGATACACCTCCTAAGTCGTCTACTAGAGAAAAAGCTTGAGGTGGTTTTCACTGTGGCAAATGTATCATCATGTGAGTTAATTATCAACTTTTTTTATAAGCAATGAAATCAATTCTTTGACTCTTTTTCTTTGTGTGTAGAACAATCGTGTGCGGAGGTTTGCGTTCGAGCTGAAGATGCAGGATAAGAGTGGTTATGTTCTGGCTGCAGACTCTGAGAGCGAGATGGACGACTGGATCAACACCCTCAACAAAATCCTCAACAGCAGCTTTGAGCTCGCCATGCAGGACAAAAGGAACGGAGACTCACACGATGGTGTGTGTGTGTGTGTGTGTGTGTGTGTAAAGATGATCAAAAACCCTTAGTCATCTGTTCATTTTAGACACATTTAGATGCACATTCCTGAAGCAAACACACAAACCACTCTGACCTCCACACATGGGAGTAACTGTATTCACAATGACAAAGAGACATGACTGTGTCTCTGAGAGAGTTACTGTGTGGTGCAATGACTTTCTTCTGTCTGTCTCTGTTGTAGATGATGAACAGGCGAAAAGCGATCACTCCTCTAGCAGTATGGACAGTTTTCAGGTAGGTCGCACTTGTCCAGAAACAGCTTTCCCCCTTGAGTGTGAGAGAAACTCGACATCTGACTGAACACAGAAATCATCACACTACTATTTTTTGTATGTACAGACCGTAGCTAGACTTTTGACTGTCATTTTAAAGTCTGGTCCACTTGGCAGCTTATCCTGGCCAAGAACCGCCCACTGAGAATGGAAGGGTTGCTTGATAGACATTATTTGACATTAAGGAATGGAAAACTGAAAATCTTGAAGTAAAGCAGAATATAAAGGTGTGCAAGAGGAAGTCTTGCTTGTTACTAAGCATCTCAGAACAACTGTGAATGTCTTGTGAAGTTTCAATGCTGTGATTATCAACAACTTTGTCCATTTCAACAACTAGTTCTTAAAGGGTTAGTTCACCCAAAAATGAAAATTCTGTCATTAATTACTCACCCTCATGCCGTTTCAAACCCGTAAGACCTTCGTTTATCTTCTCAACACAAATTAAGATATTTTTGATGGAATCTGAGAGCTTTCTGATCCTGCATAGACAACAACGCAACTGAAATGTTCCCAAGTCCAGAGACGTAGCAAGGAGATCTGTAAAATAATCCATGTGACATCAGTGGTTCAACCGCAATTATACGAAGCTACGAGAATACTTTTTGTGTGCGAAAGAAAAAGAAAAAAACGACTTTATTCAACAATTCGTCTCCTCCGCGTCACCCTGTAGAGCCATTTTGGAGAATATCCGCTGGATGTAAACAATGCATGCTGTTCTGTGTCAGCTGCGTCATGCCAGATCTGTTTCCTACATTGTTTTGATTTGATCTGAACGGAAACAGATCCGGCGTGACGGCGTGACGGAATCTCAGATTCCATCAAAAATATCTTAATTTGTGTTCCGAAGATGAACGAAGGTCTTACGGGTTTGAAACGACACGAGGGTGAGTAATTAATGACACAATTTCCATTTTTGGGTGAACTAATCCTTTAAGACTAAAGGTGCAGTCACATTTATCATCGTTGTGTGGAATTTCACAGGCGGATTTCATTCACTTCAGTAGGAACTTGTGTTGAGTTTTGAGGAAATTGAGTTTTGTGCGAGGGCGAAAAAGTTCCCCGTGCAGATTTTGCTCATTTTCAAATTCTCTACACTGACGAACAGAAAGCTGCTTGGTTTGAAAGTGACTTAGGTGTGAGCTTTGTACATCGTTACACAATGGAAAATTACCATATTTGCCTGCAAAATTTCGCTAACAAATTCCAACAATCAACAGAAGTCACTTTTAAATCAAGCAGCTTTCTATTGATCAACATGACAAATTCGCGTGAGCAACTGGAACCTGTTGCGAAATCTTTCGCCCTCACACAAAATTCCCAAACATGTGGATTCCTGTTAAAAAAATTCACCCAACTGCGATAAATGTGTCCGCTCCTTTAAGTCAAGTCACCTTCATTTAGTTCTTCAATGAAACAAATAGTGTCATTATTTAACTCCATTTAGTTCAGTGTTGATTTGATTTAGATCAGTAACAGTGTGAATTTTGCAAAGTTCATTAGTTATGAAGTGAACTCAAAGCAGTTCTACAGAAGCTAATAGTGTTGTTATTCAGCACATCAGTTCAGTGTTGATTCAGTTTAGTTCAATATACTGCAAAGTTTATTCAATTATCAAATGAGCTTAATTCAGCAAAAAGCATCTCTATAGAAGCTCATAGTGTCGTTATTCAGCTCAAGTCAGTTCAGTGTTTATTCAATTTAGTTTAAAGGGGTCATATGATGCGATTTCAAGTTTTCCTTTCTCTTTGGAGTGTTACAAGCTGATTGTGCATAGATAAGATCCCTGAGTGGCTAAAGTCTCAAACCCAAAGAGATATTCTTTATCAAAGTTAAGACTCTGCCACGCCCCCCTAAAACGGCTCGTTCTAACACGCCCCCACATATCTACCTCACTATGTGGAAATATTTGCATAATGCCGCCCAAATGTGCACGCAAAGAAAGAAGGCGTGGTTTCAGTAACCGCAGTTAGTGTTGAAGCAGCATGTCAGGGAGACGCTGTGCGTTTCTAGGCGAAAGCAAAAGCACTTTATTTGGCCTTCCGAAAGTAGATGCATTTAGGAATCTTTAAGATTACTTACAACAGAACAGCAATGCATTTTATGGACGACCGTTTCGTGAACCTAGGAGAGGAGGTCATTCTGACTTTGCTATGACAATCTGGTCTAATAACCTCTTCATACCAACATGATGCTTTATTGTGTGATCTCCCAGAAAGTTGTTTTGCTCCAGATTGTATAGTCATCATCTATAAGAGATATGAAAATATAGAACGCATTCGCTTCTGTTCATCTGGAGCTGGAAGTGAATGACACTGAATCAAAAAGCTTTGCAGGTTTTAACTGATATCTCTCTGCTCTGTTCTCCCAGAGTGCCAGAGACATCGAGAGCAAGATGAGAAATGAGGCACGGCTAAAACTCTTTACACTGGACCCAGATTTACAGGTACATCACTAATATAGAAGCCGAGGAACAGCCTCTTTTACTAGCTCATGTTTTCCCCTCTTCACTAAACGATGAAGATACTACACTAAAGTACACAGAAGTTTGTGGTCAGAAAACATTTGTAATGTTACAAAAGAACATTCTATTCATCAAAGCCTTAAAAAAAAAAAAGCTTTGCATCACAGATAATAGAGACTTCTTTAAAAAACATAAAAATCTTACTGACCCCGAACTATTGGATGCTAGTGTAAATATATAAAAATATGCCTATAGATGAATCTCATGTACTTATTATTCGTCTCATCCTCCACTTTGAGCAGAAACTGGATTTCTCTGGGATCGAGCCAGATGTGAAGCCCTTTGAGGAAAAGTTCGGGAAGCGGATCTTGGTGAACTGTAACGACCTGTCCTTCAACCTGCAGAGCTGTGTGGCGGAAAATGAAGAGGGTCCAACCACTAACGTACTTTACCTTGCTAACTATAGTTTCCATCCCAGTAAACCGTCTTTCATCTGAGAGTTTCTGCACTGGTTTGTGTTGCAGGTTGAGCCCTTCTTCATCTCTCTGTCATTGTTTGATATTCAAAGTGGTCGTAAGATCTCCTCAGACTTCCACGTGGATATGAACCATCCGTCTGTGAAAGCGCTGCTGCCTTCGTCAGGAGCTCACAACAGCACCGCAGCACCAGACAGTCCGCAAGCAGCACAACCGACAGCCAACAGCCTGACAGAGAGCGCCATTCAGTTTCCACGACAGGTGAGGACAAAAAAACAAGAGATCCAATCTCTGTCAAGAGCAGCTGTGACCTGCTGTTGATAAACACAGAAAATCATTTTGGTTCATCCCTCAAACAAAAGCCATTTATAGTATTACAGGGACAAACACGGTTTAAATATACTTTCACAAAAAAGTGTAACCATAACACTTCATATTTCTTTCCGCTTTCAGTTACAGTTTTTTTTTTTACGTCAGTCCTGATCTCACACAATTTCCAAATACTAAATGCTGATTTTTTTTTTTATTTTATTATTTTATTTTACAGTCTTGGATAAGTGGAATATTATTTTTTGTGCAGAGTCAGCTCTTTTGCCAAAATGATGCCATCAGCTGAAAAATACTAAAAGTTTTTAAAACTTTAAAAGTAGTAAATAATTTTAAGCCTATTAATAAAGAATGTATGAATTAATAAAGAAAGTATTGGGCATTTTGGAATTAAATGTTGTAGTTCCGATAGGGACATTTTGTCATTAAGGTCCTGAGTGTAACTATTTTTTTATACCTAATATAAAATAGATTTATGAAGGGAAATATGGGTGAAATATAAAAATTCTAATAAAAATAAAAAATGTTGGCAAATTTTATGCTGTTTGCATTAACACAAACAAAGAAAAAGACAAGAATGATTTTAATATATTATAAAATTAAATTTTCTCCTTCAGAAATCATATGCTGATTTATGCTGATTTGCTGCTCAAGAAACATTTCATATTATCCTTTATATTTTTGTGGAAACTGAGATACTTTTTTCCCCAGTCACTTTACTGTTACTGATCAATTGAATGCAATTGAACCCAACCGCTAGTGCACATTAAACATTACTACCCTTGTTTGTGAAAATCTCTAATCATGTCTGTCTATAGGGAGTGTTTTCGGTGACCTGTCCGCACCCTGACGTCTTCTTGGTCGCTCGGATAGAGAAGGTCTTACAGGGTGGAATAGCACATTGTGCCGAGCCTTATATGAAGAACTCAGACTCTGAAGGTTGAAACTAAATAGTGACTTCCAGCCTGAGTGTGTGAGATCTCAATTTTACTGTAAAAGCAACACGAGTAGAATCAATAATGTTGAGGCAAATATTTGTTTTACTGTTTTTGGGTTGTTGTTTTTAAGCCATACCATTACGTTTATCTTTCCAATGGGATGTTAAAGATGAGCTGGGCAGGATGTGTGTGTCTGTGTGTGCTCTCATCTCTTTCACCCGAGTGGAAAAAGCTAATTACCCTCCTCCATCCCCAGCTCCTCCTCTGTCAGTCGGGATTCAGCCTTCTGATTCTCCTTTGAATCAAACTAATTCTAAAATGTGTACATAACATTTTTGAACTTTAATGATATCTGCAATACATTTTAACGGGTTATCGCTGCTCAGAACAGAACAGAACCATACCGCCAATCCAAACTGTATGCTAATTGTCAATCATCTTTGATGATAGTGGTCCTGACAGAAATGCAGAAATTGATCTGAACAAGCATTCTTTTCAATATTTAAACACATGCAGTGGAAACTACAGGCTTTAAGTGTAATGAGGCACTAGGTAAATCTGAAAAGTTAAAATCTAATAAGCTGCGGGACACTTATTCGGATGAAGAGGACGCTCTCCCACTGAAGGTAATGTCACACACAAACACTCAATCAGTGCTTGCAGTGATTGTATCACAGTTAAGGTGTATGGCCTCCAGAAGCTACCATTTTTTTTATAACATTTCATTTAAAACATTTTTTTTTAATTCATCAAAGAATCCAGAGAAAATGTATCACAGTTTCTACAAAAATATTAAGCAGCACAACTGTTTTCAGCATTGATAATAAGAAATGTTTCTTGAGAAATAAATCAGCATGTTAGAATGATTTCTGAAGGATCATGTGACACTGAAGACTGGAGTAATGATGCTGGAAATTCAGCTTTGCATCACAGGAATAAATTACATTTTACAAGACATTTAAATATACAATAATATGTAATAATATGTCACAATATTATTGTGTTTTGGTGAGCACAGGAGACTTCTTTCAAAAACATTTAAAAAATCTTACCGACCCCAAACACTTGAATGCTAATGTCATTGCATTTATGAAGAACTGAATCACAATAACTCTTCCACTAGGTGATTTAGTTCATTTGTTTAACTGTAAGTGATGCTGTAGCTGTCTGCTCTCTGTTTTGTCAGTGTATATACGGGCGTCCAGGAGGGCCTCTGTTCTGTAAGAAAGCGTTTGCTGCGGTCTTACACCACCAGCAGAACCCAGAGTTTTATGAAGAGGTGAGACGTTTACCTCTGAGCGCTACATCACTATAAGTTTGTGAGTTTGCAGTGCTTATGGTCAAACTGTTGTGGTGTTTGTGGCTTTTAACGCTTGTTTTTAACGTGTCCAGTTTAAGATAGAGTTGCCGGCTCAGCTGACGGACAGACATCATCTTCTTTTCACTCTCTATCACATCAGCTGTGACAGCAACAGCAAAGCCAGCACTAAGAGACGAGAACAGGTGGAAACACAAGGTGAGACACACACTCACATACGACCTTCTGAAAACAGCCTTAACCACTGGATTGAAAATACACAGTGAAAGAGGAAAAGGACAATCAATATTTAGATCAATTTTAACTAATCAAACACAATGTATGGGCTGCATACATTGGCATTTTTAAGGACCCCGTTTCTTGCAAAGTACCGTTCTACCCACTCATTCTGTGTGTGTGTGTGTGTGTGTGTGTGTGTGTGTGTGTGTGTGTGTAGTGGGTTATGCGTGGCTCCCCTTGCTGAAGGATGGCAGAGTCATTATGAATGAACAGCAGGTGGCAGTGGCTGCAAACCTGCCATCAGGTTACTTGAGTTTCCAGGACAACAGCAGCAAGGTGAGAGACCCAAACACTGATTTTGATCATGTTTTTTTTTTTGTTTTGTTTTTTGGTGTGTGTTGTTGTGTGTGTGGTTTTTTTGTATCTTTGTGTTGTTTTTGTTTGTATGTTTGTTTTGTTGTATTGTTGTGGTTTTTGTGTTGTGTTTTTTTGTTTTGTTGTATTATATTTTTTGTTTTTGTTTGGTTGTTTTGTGTGTGTGTGTTTTGTTGCTTTGTGTTTTTGTTTTTTTGTTGTGTTTTGTGTGTGTGTTTTTTGTTTTCTTGTATTGTGGTTTTTATTTAGTTTTGTTTGTGGTGTTGTCTTTTGTGTGTGTGTGTGTGAGCGCACGTGTTTTTGTTTTTTCTTGCTTTTTTTGTTGTTGTATTATATTGTTGTTGTTTTTCGTGTTTGTTGGTTTTATTATGCTTTGTTGTGTTGTGTTTTTTGTTGTTCCATTTTGTTTTGTTATTTTTGTATTTTGTTATGCTTTTTTTTGTTTTGAGTTGAGTTGACATGTGTTAAGGGGTGAATTGGAAATGTATTGCAAAATTCACCATTGAAGTAAACAGGTACATATACTTGGAGGCTGAAATTTGCATATAATCATGACAGAGCATGCATTTCTTCCTGAAGTACCTGAAAATTGATTTCTTTTGTCAACTGAAACCCTAAAATATTTACTTACCGTATCCCCTGAGATTTTAAGTTAATACTTTTATTTGCATGTTCACAGTTATTGACATGTTCACTGACATGTTGGTTAATGGTCATGTGACATGGAGGTAAACAAATAAAATATTTAATATTTTTTTAATAAGCGTTACATTTTGTTTCTGATATTGCTCCACTATTTTTCGCTGCAGCATTGGGGGAATTGGTGATCCTCTGCCCATCTTGACTTCTGAGAGACACTGCTACTCTGAGAGGCTCTTTTTATACCCAATTATGTTGCCAATTGACCTAATAAGTTGCAAATTGGTCTTCCAGCTGTTCCTTATATGTACATTTAACTTTTCCGGCCTCTTATTGCTACCTGTCCCAACTTTTTTGGAATGTGTAGCTCTCATGAAATCCAAAATGAGCCAATATTTGGCATGACATTTCAAAATGTCTCACTTTCAACATTTGATATGTTATCTATATTCTATTGTGAATAAAATATAAGTTTATGAAATTATTCCATTTGTAAATTATTCCATTCCTTTTTTACTCACAATTTGTACAGTGTCCCAACTTTTTTGGAATTGGGTTTGTATTTAAAAAAATATTTATTTTCATTTTCGGTAACACTTTATTTTAACATGTCCTTGTTACACATGTTACATGTACTTACTATTATAATAACAGTTAATTATGCATAATTACATGCAAGTAACCCTAAGCCAAACCCTAACCCTATAGTAAGTACATGTAGTTAATTAATATTACTCCGTATGTATATGTATAATTACACTGTGACAAGGACACCTTAAAATAAAGTATTTATTCGATTTCATGATTTAATTAAATAGCTTTTCATCAACTCACAAACCCCCTGCAGTTCCCTCCAAAAACCCCAGGGGTTCATGAACCCGGTTTGAGAAACCCTGGTTTGAAGAGTCTAGCTGGCTAAAGTGTGTGTGTGTGTGTGTGTGTTGCAGCAGCACACTGGTCAAGAGGTGAAGTGGGTGGATGGTGGGAGGCCGCTGCTCAAAGTCTCCACACAGCTGGTGTCCACTGTATACACACAGGTATGAAGTGTCTACCTTGTACATCTCAGATCAGAATTGTCACATAGTAATCAGATACAAAATGTGATATTAAGCGTTAATTACTTTTCTTTCTGGTCAGGATCAACATCTGCATAACTTCTTTCATCACTGCCAGAGTATTGAATCCACAGGCCAGTCAGGAGGAGAACTGATTAAATACCTGAAGGTACTTGCTGTTTGTCCTTCCTGAGGATGTTTGAGGCCTTGAGGTGTTTGTTCAGTCTGGGTTAGCAGGCGATTCTCACCCATCTCATCCTGAGATCACAGATCTGTCTCTCTCCTCTACAGAGTCTGCATGCCATGGAGGCTCATGTGATGGTGAAGTTCCTCCCCACCATACTGAACCAGCTGTTTCGTGTGCTCACCATCTCCGGTCAGGATGATGTTGCTGTGAACGTCACCAGGTCTGTGCTGAGCAGCTTTCACCTGCTGTAGGGTGTCTGCTACAGTGTTATTTTAGTAGTTTTGGTAGCACTTTACAAAACGTTTCATTAGTTAACTGCTTTAGTTCACCTGAACTAAACATGAACAATACTTCTACAGCATTTCTTAATCTTAGTTAATGTTAATTTCAACATTTATTAATGCATTATTAAAATCTAAAGTTGTGCTTGTTAACATTAGTTAATGCACTGTGAATTAACATGAACTAATAATGAACAACTGTATTTTAATCAGCAAAGATTAATAAATACAGTAATAAATGTACTGTTCATGGTTCGTTCATGTTAGTTAATACATTAACTAACATTAACTAATGGATCTTTATTGTAAAGTGTTACTGTAGTTTTTATTAATATTTTTTATATTATTTATATTATTATATATTATATATATTCAGTTTTCATTTTAATTTTAAGTTTCATTTTTAGTAATTTTGTTACTTGCTTTTGTCATTTTTCATTGTGTGTTTTTTATAATACCATTTAGGTTACATTTCTTTTTATATCATTTTCAGCTCATTTTATTGCTTCATCTTATTTTATTTATTTGCCAAGACAACATTTCAAATGTTGTTTACTTTAAGTTTTTCCATCTAATATTTTAGTTGAGTTTAGTTAACAAAAAAGGTTTTGGGTTTTGGTTTTAGTCAATGATAAAACCCTTGTCCTCATTTTGTCTCTTCTCTCGTCAGGGTGATGATCCATGTCGTGGCTCAGTGTCATGAAGAGGGTCTGGAGCATCACTTGCGTTCTTATGTAAAGGTGCGCTGCATCATGATACATCACGTTTTGCTTGTGATGTCAAACAAGTGTTTTTGACTATAACCCTTTATATCATCATTCTTGTTTTCTTGTGTTTTGTTTTTGAGTAGTATGTTTTGAAGGAGGAGACAAACTTAACCAATGGTAAAACTGTCCATGAGGAACTGGCAAAAACCATGACCACCATCCTGAAACCCTCAACTGACTTCCTCACCAGCAACAAACTGCTGAAGGTACAACCAGTGAATCAGATTAAAACATCCCTCACAATGAAGAAGCACACTTCAAATTAGTTTTATTAACTAAACTAAGGTTCAAGTTAATTTTTTAAGTTTACATTATATAGTAAGTATAATAAAATCAGTGTACTCATAGTATAATTGTAAGTGTACTATTTCAAAACTTCCTAAATTTCTTTTTAGTTCAGAAAAGTATGCTTTTAAGTGTACTTAAAGTGTAACTGTGGTCATTTTGTCTACACAACTAGTTTACATATAAGTTTTCTCACTATTGCAACTATACTGTGAACTATATGAAGTTAATATATTAACTTATGAGTAGGGTTGCAAAAAGGTGGAAAATTTCCAGTAAATTTGGGAAATATTCCAGAAATTTTGGAAACGTTCCAGGATTTTGGGGAATATTCCTGGTATTTTTGGAAATTTACCAGACATTGTCCACCCCTTTGCAACCCTACTTATGAGTACTCTTAGTTTAATAGTAGTTAAATGTACTTCTAGCTGTCTATTGAGTTTATGAAAATACACTGTATAATAGTTTAATAGGTTTTATATTGAAAGTATACTTGTAGGTTTTCAAATGAACTTAACATCACTCATATAATTGACTTACTGTATACCGTGGAGCAATTGTTGATCAAATCAGCCAAATGTAAATAAAAACGTAAACGTGTAAGTTTATCGGGTAGTATGTAAATCATATGCTGTAGTATTACCTAAAAGAAGCCTATTGTCATGCTACGGTGAGATAAATGCACGAAGAAGATGAAGATGAATGCAAATAGTCTTTAATAAATCCGCACAAGGGTGAATCCAGGACAGAACATGCAGGAGACACATGTAGGGATGTAGTAGACCAGACCAGGGAACACAGGACTGAACACAACTTAAATACATTGGTAAATGAGGATAATTAACAAGACACACATGAACCAAATGACAATCAGACATAGACGGAAAACTGGGTCACACAGAGCACATGGGGGATGAAAACACAACAAACAGTCCTGGGGTGTGACACCTATACTGTATGCGTGGAAAAAAGTGTTTCATATACTACTCTGTCAAAAATGTAAATACAACTACAAGGAAAGTATATTTTGAATACCGAAATATACTTTTCTGAAGGATATCTCGATCAAAAAACAAGTACAATTACTTTATATATATATAGACTTTTCTGTATACTTGTCAGTATTATATAATTTTGTAGTCTCTATGTATGTCTCTGGTAAGTAGGCTACATACAAAGTAAATTGAAAGTATACTCTCTTATTTATAGTTTAAAAGTTTTAAACTCTTGAATAAATTTGTAAGGACTACGGCAGTGTTCATGGTTTAGTGGCTGTTGCATGTGTTGTAGGTACTGTATATCCTCTTGAATCTGTGCTGTTTCTCCTCTAGTACTCCTGGTATTTCTTTGAGGTTTTAGTCAAGTCTATGGCTCAGTACCTAATTGAGACGGGCAAGGCCAAGGTGAGGATGGGTAACATCACAGCAAACAAACACCACTCATATGTTCTTCTGAAAATGTTCAAATCTAGTTAATTTCTGAACTTCTTCCTAAGTGCATAAATCTGATGGGTTTTTTTCATGGCAGTTTTTGATTTGACCCCTGTCGTGTCCTTTAGGTGTCTAGGAACCAGCGTTTCTCAGCTTCATTCTATCACTCCGTGGAGACCTTGGTGACCATGCTGATGCCTCATATCGCACAGAAATACAAAGACAACCTGGACGCAACACGAAACGCCAATCACAGCCTTGCTGTCTTCATCAAGGTGAGCCGAGCTGCTGGGCTGCTTTCACACTATGAGGAAGTCATCAAGCATCAAGGCTCGAGATCTGGAAGTTTTTATTTTATTATATTTTTTATTTTGCTTTGCTTTGTTTTGCTTTGCTTTGTTTTGCTTGCTTTGTTTTGCTTTTTGTTTTGCTTTGCTTTGCTTTTTGTTTTGCTTTGTTTTGCTTGCTTTGCTTTGTTTTGCTTGCTTTGTTTTGCTTTGTTTTGCTTGCTTTGCTTTTTGCGTTGCTTTGTTTTGCTTGCTTTGCTTTGCTTTGCTTTTTTTGCTTTGCGTTGCTTTGTTTTGCTTGCTTTGTTTGCTTTGTTTTGCTTGCTTTGCTTTGTT